GAAAATATATAAGTTATAAGCATTTATTGTGTATGAAACCTATACATATTGCATGTACTATATTGTGTTGTAGATTTTTGGAAAAAAAATAATAATTTTATTTTTTATTTTTTAAATTGTTACACTTATATTTATGTAATTTTTAGAAAATTACAACTCTACTAGAATTCTAATTACATGAAATTATTATTCTACTAGAATTTTGAATAAATTAACATAACTAATTGTTAATTTTTGAAAAATAAATAATAATTTTATTTCTCACTTTTTAAATTGTTATACTTAGAGTATTTATAAAATTACCAACCTACTAATAAGAAAATTTTTATTTCATTAGAATTCTAAAAATAAGAGATAATTATTCTCATAAAATTTAAATTAAATAATACCAAATAATTAAATATTAAACTAATTAAATATCATATTCAACACCTCCCCCCCCCTCCGGCCAAGTTAGTGCAGGAATATCATACATGCTCAACTTCCAAACTGAGTTGCAAACTCGAGGCGAACGCGCTTGGAAGAGCTGAAAAAGAAGCAAAGAATATTGGTCAGAAAGGCTCGCACGTAAAAGAAATGGATCTGCACCGGATCGCGAAATTAGAGACAGACACGCGCAAAAGAGCCAAAAAAAAGGCTGGTCAAGAGGGCTCACATGTGAAGGAGCGAAGAAAATGACCAGAAAAAGCTGGTAAAAACAACTCACGCGCAAAGGAAGCAGATCTGTCTAACATAGCGGCTCAACTCAAAACAGCTCGAGGTTGGCTCAAAACAACTTGAAATCGGCTTAGACGGCTCGGACTCACTTGGCTCACCGCATAGCTCAGCTCACGCTCGTCTTCTCTGAATAAATCTCTGAACGTGCGCAGAAAAACGGAATAGTGCAGCCTTTTTTATCGGCATGTGTAGAGTGCAACTGTAACTTTTTACTAGCGCTTACAGATGTGCAACCGCAACTTTTACTGCGACTGTGGATATACGACTGCACTTTTTTACCGAGTTTGTAATGAGCAGCTACACTTTTT